TACCCCGCTACTTGACGGTGGTGTACCGTACAGAAGACATTCCTTACCTGAAAAAAAGTCTCACCCATTTTGTGGCATAAAAACCTCAAAAAAAAAACCTCCACTTGGTGAACAGCCTTCTTATTTGAGCTTGATAGCTGTTCAGTGGATCTAAAACTTCCACTAATACTTCCTTATCGTGAGTAGCGCTCAACGGGGACAATAGCGATATGCCCTCAGTAATGCCCAGAAAACGCCCTCTCTCATGAGTACCCTGATATTCCGTGAGAGTGAAAATCCGCAGAGCGCCAACTCCTCGTCTGGAAATGTCATCCGATCTTCTTCGAAGAGCTGTAAAGCGTCGCCAGCGGACGAGGCAACCGGGGTTCCGCTGCGACTTGTACCCTCTTGGATGGTGCGAGAGAGTGGATGTGAGAGTGAGTTCCAATCCTCAAACAAACAATAAGAACTCATCGACGGATTGAGTTTCATCACCCTCGTTAGCCTCACAGAACGATCCATCGAGGCTGGACTGCGTCACCAAAAGCGGTATCCTTCCGAAAGCGCTATTCAAAAAGCGAATTCGTAAACGGCACCAGAAAGAGAGCAAAGCCTTCAGTGTAGCAGTAGCATTCACTAACAACTTAGAAGGAAACAAAATTGATAAGCCCTTCTAGCGTTCCTGCGATGATTGGGCCAACATGGCAAGCAAGAAGAGTGTGGTGGTTTTAAGGTAAATGGTAAAGGGATTGCAAAAATTGGAGGAAATTGAAAATTGAAGGAACACCTTCGTTATCCATACTCACTACGAATTATCTCTGATGGGTTCTCTACCCATCTTTTTTGACAATTTTTCATCAATAGTTAATACTCCTCCAAAAACTTCATAATTGGTGATAAGTGTACGAGTGCTGTACTTGATAAGACATACGGTAGCTGCAGAACGTGAAAATGGAGGCAACGTTTAGTCAAAACGAGTCCTTCACGTGTGGAAGTGTGGCACGTATGTGTCCCGCGATGTCGTAACCTTGTTAAAATTGTTACCCAGATGAAGTCTGCTCATTTGAACTTCCTCTACCGATGATGCTGTGAACTCTGTGCGATACAAGCAATGGTGTTCGCTTGGTTATCGGCCAATTCTAGCGGAGAACTTCCGACAGATCACCTGTCACAAAACCTTTCGATCGTTGATCATATGACAAGAAATGCGCTTCTTCTTGTGACAGTTGTCCGCCGACTATTACATGTTCAAGAATCACTCTTTGCGTCAGCCTAACCATAAGCAAAACAAACTTCTGTTGTTATCGGTTCAAGCGGATTCAACTTTGGGAAGATCACTCGAACACAGAAGTTATTGATAGCCTATCTATATAGATGTAATTAACACCTTGGATCCCATGCAGCCCATTACATGAGCTGAGTCCGTCGACCCCCAGGACCTAGGACCTTACGACCCATATTTTGGAAACAAATCTCGAGTTTCTCTTTTGTTTTTCTTTCCATTTGATTCGATAAGGTTTCTTCTAATTGTAAGTCATACGGTAGGCTTTTTCTTCCAATTTACCTTATAAGATCTCATAAAACTCCCGGCCTAGAACCCCGCTGGCCGCAAATGTTTAAGCATGCTGCTGTGTGGGTGTCTCGTCGTAATCTGATCCGCCTATTCAGTGTAAGAGTGTCTGTGCTTAAGGTGTCTTATGCCTTTCTATAAATATTCTAATTTGTCTCTATACTTCATCTGTTCCTCTACTGCTAGTGGTAATGAATTGATCAGGCAATCACCAGAGCGGCGAGATGCGGTGGAGCTTGGTGCGGCACAATTATGACAACTGACAATGGTTTTGACTGAGGCGTGTGCGAGGAGAGTCCACACACTAAAGAAGGGCCGACACTGCGATGCGGGAGTGGGGGCTTAAGCGGTTTGGCCTTCGGCGGTCGCGAGCGAAGCCATGATGGCCCGCAGACAGGCCCGTTTTCAATTTCAAAGCGCTCGAGGCCACTAAACGCACCCAATCACAGCCACTTCAGACGAACACCATTACGCAATGAGATGAACGGGGAATTCTCGCGTCAACGCCCGCGCGACCACGCTCTTTGGCCCCTCATGATCAGAAATTCTACAAATGGGATTAGTATTTGAGAGGAAAAGTTTAGGACTAGGGCACTTCTTTGAATTTTGTCGGGAACGTTGAGATTTAAAAAAGTGCACTTATTTTTACGTATTTTTGAGACCAAAACTTTGGAAAAGATGGATGTTGACTCATAAATTTGAATTAGACCACAAAAAGATGTCTGAGAAGATTTGGTGAGAGAAACTGGAACGTAGGAACCCCAAAACATTGAACGCAGGCATCCGTAACTAGCTGTCTAACTATAAGCCCTATCGAGTATTACAAAATTCAAGAAAAGCCAAGACGGTGAGACCGTGGACCTGTCTTCTCACTAATGTCACCTGCATTTCGAATATCGGAAAGCCTATTGAACTAACCCGCTCTACCGGGTCACAGAATGCAGGCGCCGGAAATCGGAAGGCAGGACGGAAATTTTTGGTACTCTTTGATGTGAACCGATTTCTCAGTACACTGCAAAATATGAAAAAATAGTCATTTACAATTCCCCATAACTGATGTGATGGGGCGGGGCATCCTGGCTCGCCTTTAAAAGGACTTCGGAATTTTTTAATCGTTTTCTGTTCATACGCTCTCCTATCCCCATTTAGGAGATTCCCACTTGCACAGTTTCTTTTGTATGAAAAATATCACGAAATTAAGTGAATAGCTCATATCGCTTACCCCTTGACTTGGCTCCTAATGCGATCAGCGTGCAGTCTTGCCCGCTGAACACTCCCTGTACGAGCTCCGGCAGTACGTTTGAGCAAATTTTCTCCTGTAAGTAATATAATATATTAAGAAAGACCTGATCAAGGCTATCAGACACCTATTGTACCTGAGTAATATCCGGTCCGAAGACGTTCTCAAAGGCGTTTTTCGAGTGCGGCTTAACCGCATCAGTGATGTGGATTTGATTCGGCGCCGGCACGGTGATACCTCCTGTGGCGACGTCGTCTCCCGACACCATGGCGCATATTCGTAACTAAAATTAATGAGGGATTATTTGTTGGAACCAGAAGCTGAATGAAACAATAATCTCTCTTACGTATAAAATAAGCTTGGTGTTCTTGAAAGTACAAATTCAGCAGCAGAACAAGCAAATGTTTAGTGACCCTCTACTGACCCGTGGGGTCTTTATACTGACTCGTGGGGTCCTTAGCGCAGAGCTTCTACAGGAAAAAATGAAGACCCTGCCCCTCCCCCCTCCCGAAATTCCATCCTCCAGCATAGCTGATCCAAGGCCTTCACGTTTTTGATTACCATCAGCCCGGCGGATATCCGTTCAACCTCTTTACCCCAAGTGAACCTCCAAGGCACACGTAAATGAGGGTGTTAAACCTGGGTCCGAATAGCCCATCGTAAATTCTACGGAGGTGCCGTAGGCCCTTCTGGGTTGACCGAAGGTCTGCCCTGACAAGAATACTCGAGCCCATCCAATCAATCTAATTCAAGCCATTCTAAATAATAGGTGTTTTTAACACAAATAACTCCACGAGTAGGTCGCATTTTTATATTTATATTTCATTTTTCTCCTTCAACGAACTTCGACTTTGCTTGAAGTGGCCCGGTAGATTATATAGAGCTAGATGTATGATTGCATTTGATCCGGCCAGTCACAAAATATTTTCCGATCTAGATGATCACGTAAGAAGAACTACAGATTTGAGCCCCTGAGTGTTGAAACCAACCAGAGACCAACATCTGATGGCAGGAATACAGAAGTGATGAGGCGATGGCCCATTGCCCACATGTTTTATGTAAGCACGAACTCTAGGAAATATGCAATAGTATCACTGCAGCGAGGTGCAAGCTCACATAACCTTAACTCGCCGAACAATCAAATGGGTTGCCCAAATTTCCCCTGGAATGGTATATGTACGCAGAAATCGTAAAATACTTTTGCCACCATTAGCCCCCTTGTCACTCTGAACTGCCCACATCGTATCCATAAGGCTTACTATAAATCTACTTGAAGTACTCTTCTAAGCGTCAATCATGGCTAACGGCCAACGTATTGTGTCCAACGGGTCTCACACCCGCACGCAGCGGGGTGTCCGCGCGCACAAAGGGGCTACGGCGTATAAATTGGCTATCAAATCATCAGCCGAAAACACAGCTCCTCATTGCACTACAATAACAGACCCCAGCCCGCAGCCGACACACTCGAAGAATTTTCGTTGGAGCAACAGAAAAACATTCAAAGCTCCAAAATCATCAGAAGTTCAAATCAAAGGAACATAGTAAATATACGTCCTGATAAAATTGAGAAAAATAGCTCAAGGGCTAAAGATCTGAAAAAAACTTCGACAGCTGTCAAACTGCCCGTCGAAGAACTCCAACCAGAGTGCAGAAAAACTATCTCTAGACTGAACCTGGCAGTGCACATACTTAATGCTGCGAGTCTGCGTGTCACAGTATTCCCGTTCTCATATAAGCACTTCTATTATTATGACAATTTTTTACGATATTATGCAGTCGAACAAACATCGTCGTTCGTAGAACAGATCACCTCCAAAGAGTAGTGTTCTGAAGGCAGCTGACACAAGCAGCTTGAAAATGGATGTCGTTTATCGAATCAGGCCACCTCGATAACCCTCCATCAAGTTAAAGAGTGTGGGGAGAGAGAAAAAAATTTTAGCTCATCTCACCCCACTGCGATTGTGACAGTGCAGTGCTGCCTTTTAAGGCTTCGATGTTGCTGATTATTACCTCGACAAAGTATCCTCACCAGGTTGAGGGGGGGGGTGCTCTTGTTATGGGAATCAATACTTGAAAGATGTTCACAAGGAATACTGGTCGGTTGACTGGAAAAAAACCTTTCGCCCAGGCGTCGTGCTAGACGGACCTCAGAACCCGCAGCCTCTCGCTTTCCGGGCAAGTGCGCTACCAGTTACGCTACCGGGGCACCATTTCATTCCAACTCAGCTTTTCATGGTATACGTACCATAGCTTTCAGCACTCACACGTCTAACGTGTTGAGCCGGTTAGCCGATATCGGCAATGACCGCGAGGCTGAAAGCTTTAGCAATGAATTTTGACTTGTTTTGTTTGTTAACTGCTGTTTTAACGCCGCAGTTCGCGTTGCGACCTGAAAAGCTGAGTTGGGATGAAATGGTGCCCCGGTAGCGTAACTGGTAGCGCACTTGCCCGGAAAGCGAGAGGTGCGGGTTCTAGTCCCGCCTGGGGCGAAAGTTTTGTTCACAACCCAGCATTCTTGTGAAACATTCGCAAGGCGAACTGCGGCGTTAAAACAGCAGTTAACAAACAAAACAAGTCTTGAAGATTCTTCCGAGAAGCAGTAGAAACTGACAAGGATTCGCGAACCTGTCCACTTCAGGTACGTCCCAAGACACAAGCTTAAAATAGCTACCAAAGCGTCGACATTCTTGGAACAAGTTCCAAAAAATATTGTAGAATCATACATCTTCTGCTACTGCCATTGCTCATGTGCTTGTTTGTACGAAGAGTACTCAGTATTTACATGTTGGCCTTTACTCCATGAACAGCTGCAAGCAATCTTGGCAGGAATCCTACCGCCCTTCCATGAGTTTTTTTTTTCTCACGGATGATAAAACACCATTGGCTGCAAGGCATTAAATCCGTGTTTTTCAGGTGTCAATGAAGGAAAGATGGCCGCGTGAGCCATACTTTACATCGGCGCGCCGAAGTGTCAGCAGAGAACGTGCCCGAAGAGAAAAACGCTCCAAACCGTTCAATTGCCAAACAAATAAATCAACACAAAGACAGCGCGTATTCGAAGGATGCAAATTAAAGGTCGCCACGTACCTTTGTATTCGTTCGTATTGGCGAGGGTGGTAGCCGTTGACCGGCTGTGGCGGCAACGGTGGTGGTGCCGTTAGCGGCGGCGAGCACCCGCTCGCCCTTCCCATGCCGTCCGTACGTGAAAACCTCTTACCATTGACTCGAATAAGGTTCTCCAGGGCAGTAATTCCACTAGACTGAACGGAAACTGATGAGCAAGCCGAGCAGCCAAAAAGGCCAAGGAAACTGATTACCTCGAGGATTTTCTCCGAAGAAAACGAAAAAACTGTGCAAACACACCAAATTGAGCGTGACCATTTTTGGGCGAATGCTCCACGAGAAAGGATGATAAATCCCATTAAGTAACGGCGAAATCTCCGCATCAACATGAAGAGTTCTAATAAAAAACTGGTAAAAATCCGCGATTCTCTCAGGCAAAATAATATTAAACTGCCGATCCAAGGGCACTCCCTTCCTCCTATTATACATAGGCGTTAACTTTGAAGTTCTTTTCTATAGAGAGAAGATTCATTGCGAAGGTCTTGATCAAATACGACATCAAGGAAGTCTTCGAGGAAACCAGCTCCACAGCCCTTCGCCAAATGCCTTCCTGCGAGGAGGTGAAGGTGTTCTAACAAATCTAGGATTGTGTGCTGATTCTTCAAAAATCAGCTACGCAGAATGCTTGAGCAGGGAGCTGTCTTGATATCATTTAAAAATAGGAGGTCCAAATTAGGCTCCCCAGGAGCCCTCTGGAGAGATACTTCATAAGAAAAGGGAGAGAAATGAAAAGTAAAATAAGAAGAGGAAACCTCTTGTGGCCAGCTCACTACGAAACACAGGTGGTACTTAAAAACATGAGTAGACGGACTTGAATTGAAAAAGGGAAAAATCAATGAATAATGCTGAAAATCTGTGAAGAGATGCAGAAATAAAGAATTACTGAGAAATCAAGATCTGGTCGAAACTGCAACATATGCACTTAGGCGATTCTACAAGGGTGATTCTTCAAAGAATGCCAATTCATCGAGAATTTGAAAGACAGGAGAGTTTTTAAATATGCCAACAATATTTCAAAGACCCGCGCGGTAGAAAATTTTTCAAAAAAACCCGTTCGTCGATTGTGCTGAAAGTGCACGCGTGTCATGTTGAGTGTATAGGAATTTGTCTATCCAGCGTCTCGTCGTGTTCGAAGGCAGACGTGCGCAGACGCTTGAATGGGGCGGAGAGTTGGCCCGTCCGGTCGTTGGCGGAAGGACCAGCCGGGTTTTGCTCGTCCTCTGTCACTCATGGTGCGCGAACGACGGTGGGCTCGGCGGTCGTGATAAGGTTGAAGGTCGCTCGGTGAAGGAAGATGAGCCTCCTAATGCAATAGTCTCGACCTCGCATTCAAACTCGTTCGCACGCCCGTATAGGCCTCACGACATTCCCAAAATGGATGCGAGACTGCTGCTGCCTGCGAGCTTTGATTACCATAACATAAACCGCACGAATTCTCCACCTATACTACGTGGAGAAACATTAGTGAAGAGGCCGTTCAGCCGTTACTGATCAGTTCCGCAGAACAACACCTTCACAAGATATTTGAAGGGTCGAGAGAGGCAACCATACATACCGTAACTGCCAAAACTGCACCGAGCGGGGTAGATTTCACATTTCTCATCCCGTGTTTCTCCTAGATGAGAAGATCAAGAGCATTGCATAGATGCATCTTCATGATACAGCTCCCAGTATTTGGAACACGTAGAAAAATTTAGCCTGAAGAGTGATAATGTCAAAGGAGGTTACTCTGGCGCGAAAATTGCCACTCGATAGAGGAATAATTGTGGGAAAGAAGAAACGAAAAGATAGCAAAGGAGAGCAAACCATAAAAGTGAACGGGAGACTAATCGGTGCATCGACATTCCTTCTGACTCTTTTCCAAAACTGCTCATTACTACGATACTCTAGGTGGTTGTTGTCGCCCTCTGATACTACCACCAGGGTCAACCCTAATTCGACTATGTTGGCTACAAGTGGGGGGGTGGTCGTTTTTTGTTGATTTTGTAGAGGGGGGGGGTTCGTACTTGCTTCGGTTGTAAGAAGTTGCATGGTGTTTTGGGAGATATTTACCGTTTCAGAGTGACTATATACCCCCCGCTCGACGGCATTTTTGGAGGAAAAAGTGGGCGGGGTTTTGATGGAAGATGGAGATGGTGGAGGTAG